TGCCATGACACCTCTGGATAAAAATTAAATCATTTGTCAGCACTAAGGGTTTGTTTTAAAAGTCTCCAAGAATGTTTTCACATTCTATTAAGGAGATAGATGGTCATGACAGATAAGAAGATTGGACTCTGATGAAAGGTCTTCGATTTCTGATTAAATAATTTGAAGACATTTCAGGTTGCTTCAGTGAAAATTGTGACTACCGCCCTTTCTTGTTTGTATCCATTTGATAGATTTACCCTTATAAAATGTTCTTCCATAAAGAAGGGTATGTTCAGAAAGTGAGAAGACGGCCATTTTTTTTTATTCCTCTTTTTACTTTATTTTATTTTTTATTTTTTGGCCACACCGCACAGCATGTGGGATCTTATTAGTTCCCTGACCAGGAATCAAACTGGCACCTCCTGCATTGGAAGGCCAAGTCTTTTCTTTTTTCTTTTTTAACTTCTTTTTTTTTTTTTTTTTGGCTGTGTTGGGTCTTTGTTGCTGCACGCTGGCTTTCTCTAGCTGTGGCGAGTGGGGGCTACTCTTCCTTGTGGTGTGCAGGCTTCTCCTTTGCAGAGCACAGGCATTAGGCGCGCAGGCTTTAGTAGTTGCAGCACGCAGGCTCAGTAGTTGAGGCACGTGGGCCCTAGAGTGCACGAGCTTCAGTAGTTGTGGCTCGTGGGCTCTAGAAAGCAGGCTCAGTAGTTGTGGCACACAGGCTTAGTTGCTCCACGGCATGTGAGATCTTCCCAGACCAGGGATTGAACCCGTGTACCCTGCATTGGCAGGTGGATTCTTAACCACTGCGCCAGCAGGGAAGTCCCAAAGGGGGAGTTTTAGCCACTGGACCACTGGGGAAGTAGAAGATGGCCATTTTAGCATTAATAGTAATGCCTACTCTTTGTGAACTCTTATTTTCTAGGTTAATTAGATATAAATCACATAAATCTATTTGAAATGCTTCTCTTTACAGAAAAAAAAAAATCTACAACAGACCTGGTAAATCAGGAATCAGTAGATATAGAGCAACCTTGACCTATTTACCTTTAATTGTGAACATAAAGGGAAAGCTTTTGCAATAGCAACAAACAAATGTTCTGTCAACAAATGTAGCCCATCTTGGGAGGAAAGGATCTCATCTGGTCTCCTGACAGGAAGTGAGCAATACCACAGTTTTATTACCACATGCTCAGGCAGGGTATGTCAGTAGTTACAAAATCAGAGGATCTTATCACATCAACTTTGAAATAGTCTACCTTACCCATAATAAAGAGTAAGATTGCTTCCCTGGGCTTAAGCACGTGTACCATTTGATTTAAAAAATATTATTTTGAATATTTCACGGCATTGGCTGGGCACCCCAGCTTGTATGAGGGACACTAACTCCAGAGCGTTATGCTTCCAAATGGGATAAAACTGTGCATTGAGGTAGGGGTCGTGTGAACCCATCTATTATTCGTGGCTCCCCTCACAGAACAATCTATTCCTCTTCACTGAAAACCCGTTAAGCCTTTCCTTTGCAGTACTTATTAGCTTTCTAAGTAAAATTAAATTAAGAGTTTGCTGCAGTAGCTTATCAGGCCTTTAGTGGATGCCAATTACCGTCTTCATGCCTTCTGAATTAAGAGACAGGAAATAATTTTACACACAGAAGCACACCCTATGCTGATGTTTGGTTCTCAGAAACTTGATACGCCCGTTACTTAGAAAGAACAGTAAGTCAGAAACCCAAGTGAGGCAGAAAGCAATAAACATGGTCTGCTCAATTACTTGTAGGGTAGAATGGGGGCTAATCCCATGTGTTTCTAAGGTGGAAGAGAAGTTTCTTTCAGACCAGTTGGTTAACTTTGGCTAGCAGTTTTATGTTAAAGAATATTTAGATACCATGCCATGCTGGCATTAAAATACACAGAGTTGAGGATATAGTCAAATTACCATGAGTGAAATCATCCCAAACACTCAAACTTTGAAGATGGTGCATTATCTGAGCCCAAGGTGGGAAAGCAGTGTCCCCTTACCTTTTAAAGTCCTTTGGGTGCCATGTTGTTTGGAACGGTTGGGCTTGCTGTTCACAGCTATTTGAAGGTCTTTTCTTCCATGAGCTTGCTAGTGAACATAATGGAGGTTTCTCTCTAGTTCTTGCCTCCGAGAAGTATACATAAGTCTTCCCATATTGTGAACAAGATTTTTTTGCTTAAAAAGGAACCTTTGAATCCCAGTCCTTTTGTCAGAAAATGGAGAGGCTCTTGCAGCTATAAAAGAGTAAAACACTTTCATCATTCACAGGTGGCAGAAATGGAAGGTTAAAAATGAGATAGTCCCATTGTGTTAATAAAACAAGGCCAAACAAAAGTGATTGTTTGGCTGGGTGACTTTTTTCCCCACTTAAGATGAATCACTCAGTTCGTTTAGTATATAGCCATCCAGTTTAGAAAAAATATTGAAGGAAAAGTGTATCTATAAAAACAATGACTTGAAAAAAACAAAACAAAACAACTGCCTGGAAAAGTTATTTTAGGAGTTACAGTGGAAAACTAGAATTCATACTATTTTATACGGTAAAGTTTTTCCAGTGTTTAGTTTGATTTTGTTTGGTCAGAACTAAACATTGAACTGGATTATACAATTTTTCCATATCTCTGTGGTAGAAGAAAGAAGTATATAAAATATACTTGTGAATACACCCTGTAGGCTACATAGAATACAGCAACTACTTTCTGATTCCTCTGCTTTTTTTTTCTCCTCAATGTTGTATATATTTTTCTTAAGGTCTTTAAAGGGTAAATATTTGTCATAGTTCTCTGAAGTTTAACACTCCACAAGGATTTACTCTGAGTCACTGATTAATCTAGGGCATTTCAAATCCCCTTAAATACATCTGTTTATATTTGTTTCAAAATCAAAACAGTAAAACATTTCATAGGGTATGTTATAAACACTATTTATAACCAGCATCCATTAGACATGATGAGGTACTTATGAGTTCCTGCGAAATTACGCCATTATCTTGTATAAATGTCGAAAAATTAATTTATTCTTTTCTCACCATCGTCTGTTCTGGCCTTTCATAAATAAGAAAGAATGAATTAATTTCTGTCATAAAGTGTTAGCTTTTGTTAGATGAGCTTGTGTGAAGACTTGACATTGCATGCAGCATAGCAAAGATAGAACATTAGAAATTAGCTCAAGGTCTCCTTAACCCAGGACGAAGTCTCCAACAGAAAGAAATTTTCATACTCGGTTAGCATCTAGCAGGGCTCACAGAGATTTCTGGAAGAGCAAATTCCAAACTGCACGTACAGGTGAAGGGGTCTTGCAGATTGGGGATTGCTTTCACCTCTTCCAACCCGGTATAGAGAAAGTGCTAATAAGTGAGTTTCTGTTGGATGAATGGAGTGTTTTTGAGCATCTGCCCCAGGAGTTCTGATCCTTTTGGTTTGCTTTGGGGACCCACAATTAAAGATAAACTAATTAAAGATAGCCATACTCACGTGTTATCATTCAAGCTTTACCATTAGGATATGAGCTTCTCTGCCTAGGAAGAAGAGTTTTGAAATTAGCTACATAAACTTGGCTGTAGTGCATATGTGGATGTTAATGTTGAATACATAAAGACCTCATCAAAAGCACATGGACTTATTCTGTAGAATCTAGAGAAGAGAGAGCAGACCTTTCGCTCTTCTCTGGGGAATTGACAGACCAAATGACCTGCCTGTTATTCTATTCTGTAGAACATATTAAGTCTTCTTACCACTTTTTAGCATCGTTAGATACTGTTTTGTTGTGAAAAATCTCAGTTTCAACCCAGCCTTTTCTGTTCTAATATAAACAGACAATAAACAGATTTGTTTATCCGAATATGCGCATTTACCTTTTTTTCTGGATTTATAGCCCCGTATTCCTAATCAGACTAACAATTTTTCTTTTGGGCCCTCAAAATTTTCCTTGGTTGTGTCAGTGAGATTTTATTTCTAGGCTTTCAACTTGTTTTCAAATTACTTCATTCTACACAATTTAGCTATGTTCATATGTCTTCTCAGAATGGAGTTAAGTGCTTAATAAATGACTTCTTTACCTGCTGACCCCTTTTGCATTAAAATACTACAGAAGTCCGATAACGGCAAATGAGGCTATGAGCGGAGGGAAGAGGTGATGCCTTAAAGAAAAGCTCTTTCCTTAAATGTGAATCCTGGAGTTAGACATATTTCTCCCTAGTCGGTGGCTAAGAAATAGAAAGAAAAGAGTGAACAGCAAGACGAACATGGGGTAAAGAGCTGGTCCTGGTACACACAGCACCATGGGCCTGTAGATACCACATAATAAAATGCGTCTCCTTGGAAGGTTGGCTTGCATTAGAAAGTGCTTTATTATCATGAAAAAAAAGTCTGCTGGTGCTTGTGCTAACATCTCCATTCCCAGTAACCTCAAAACCAAAGAGCGTTCAAGGCAACGTTAACCAAGGCTTTTTTTTTTTTTTTTTTTTTTTTGCGTACCCTGAGGCTTGCGGGATCTTAGTTCCCCCACCAGGTATCGGACCTGGGCCCTGGCAGTGAAAGCGCCAAGTCGTAACCAGTGGACCGCCAGGGAATTTCCACCCATGGCTTTTTTAGAGCCTCTGGAAGAAAGAACCCTACCCTTCAGATCTCTTTAACGAGAACCAGTAATTTTCTGTGTCAGCGTTGCCATTTAGGTAGCACGTATTTTAACTGACACTGTCCTGGTTTATCCTGTTTCCGTGTGTTTAAACGATTTCTCTCCAAACTTCCGAGTAGCTGGTCACAAAGCACCGAGCTGATCTCCCTGTGCTATGCGGCTGCTTCCCGCTAGCTATCTGTGGGATATGGAGGGTGGGAGGGAGACGCAAGAGGGAGGAGATATGGGGATACATGTATACGTCTAGCTGATTCACTTTGTTATACAGCAGAAACTAACACACCATTGTAAAGCAATTATACTCCAATGAAGATGTTAAAAAAAATGGGATGGACAGTGACGGTCACACTTGGGTGTTGCAGATCCTGTGAAGCCACCTGGCAGCTCCTTACAAGCACCGGCTGATTTACCACTGGCGATAAACACAGCACCACCATCCACCCAGGTGGATGCCTCCTCTGCCCCTCCACCTCCTCCATATCAGCTCATTAGCCTTCCACCACACCTGGAAACCCTTGGCATCCAGGAGGATCCTCAAGACTACCTCTTGCTAATCAACTGTCAGAGCAAGAAGCCCGAACCCACCAGGTAAATCACCTGTGTCTCTGTGCGTGTACGTGCATACCCTTAGGCATCTTACCTTTAAACTTTTTAAAGCCTGATTTGAAGGCTTAAAAGTAACCATCTGTAGAAGCTCATCTTTTAGGCTTATAATTCAGGTTGATGTTCCTCCACGAACGATTTCCGATATTCAGGAGATTTTATTGGAGAAGCACATTGTCTTATCATTTTTGGCAAAGAATACTTGCGCCTTCACGGCTCCTTTGGAACTCTGTCTCCTGTGTCTTAGTCCTTGTTACAGGTTCACAGTGTTACTTGCTTAACAGATTTCACTGATTTATATATAAATGGTGATCTTGCTCCATTTCTTATGTGATTGTAAACCAGCCAAGGCTCATCTTTTGTTTCTGAAGAAGGAGAGGAATACCTACTGCTAGAAGATTTTGAAAGCAAAACGATCCCATTGCAGTGAGTGTGTTGTGGTTGCTTTGGATCTGTGTGAGAAATTAATCATACAGGTAAAATCCCACTATAGCAAATCCTATGGAATACACACACCAGAGGTTAGTGAAATTTGATGAAATCAAATATATTGCGAAAAACTTTGACACTTTCCAATCTTCACACCTAGCAATGAAGCAGCGCTTACCACAGGCCTTGACTTTGCAGATTTTTAAGTAGAATGAAGTATATGGATTTCACTACTTGACCAAAGATATCATAAAACTTTCCCGAATCCTTGGTTTCCCTGTCATCTTGATCTCTGCTCCCATACCCCTCTTTTCTTCTAAGCTATGAGATATTTTAATTTAATCATTCTTCTCATTTGATGTTGAATCATTGGAAGACTGGAGGTAACAGTGAGAACTGAGCCAGAACTTGATGATCACAAGGGCTGTCATACCGTTAATAGCTATGTGACAACTAGTGATATTGGGTATATTTATTATCTTAATTTGCAATATTAAGGAGGGAGGTGAATTGCATTGAAATATAAAAGATTTTTTTTAAACAGGGGTATTAGATTCAAGCATTATTTTTATGAAAATAAAAAGGATTTTTTCATGTCAAAAGTGACTGTTACTGGGCTAAAGGATCATACAAAACCCTTGTTCAAAAATTTTTATATAGGGGCTTCCCTGGTGGCGCAGTGGTTGAGAGTCCGCCTGCCGATTCAGGGGACTCGGGTTCGTGCCCCGGTCCGGGAAGATCCCACGTGCCACGGAGCGGCGGGGCCGGTGAGCCATGGCCGCTGGGCCTGCGCATCCGGAGCCTGTGCTCCGCAACGGGAGAGGCCACAACAGTGAGAGGCCTGCGTACCGAAAAAAAAAAAAAAAAAAAAAAATTTTATATAGAATTTGTTAAGATCCACAAATTAGTTTCTGTGAACCATTCCCTGAGATAGTGGAAATAGCTCACAGATCTTCCAAAGATGAGTTTCTATATATTTGTTGTAATGGGATTTTACCTGTAAAAGTTAAGGAAAAAAAAAGGGAAAAATTATAAATCAACACTGGTTAATATCAAATTCTAACTTGATTTTTGCTTGTTTGCTGTGAGAATTTAAAATTATACACTCGCAACGTTGTTGCATATGCTACTAATAACTAAGATTTTATTTTAGGGAGCTCCACAATTATTTTTCCATCTCAGCTTTTCAAAAGCCAACAGCTAAGTGACAGTTTTCAGTACACTTTCTTTTTATATAGTGTCTTTCATTGATCTCATTGGTATCATAACTTTCCTATTGTAGTAGAAATTATGCTCAAAATCATTACTCAGATATATTTTGTATCTGTATTTTGCAAAAGTGACAGTTAAATAGCAAATATTTGTGAAGTACTTGCTGAGGGCCCACTGTTCCGCTAGGTGCTATGAAGGTACAAACTAAGTACATAAGGTAAAGCCCCCTTAGATTCAGTCACCTTCAGAGTTTAAAAGTAAATCTTGTGAAGGAATCAAAACATGCAAGCATGAAGTGCTTGTAGGTGAAGGTAAGATGTGAGCATTGCCTTGCAAACTCCCGTTCATCCTGCAACACTCAGCTCAGACATCTGCTCCTCTAAGGAGGCATTCCACTAAACTCCCAGGCTGGATTAAATGCCTCTCAGGGTTTTCAGAGAATCCTGGTTGTACCTCCATATCTCTGTTTTATTGGGTTGGCCAAAAAGTGCCTTCAGTTTTTTAAGTAAAAATAAAAGACATCTTTCATTTTCACCAAGAGCTTTATTGAACAACATATTCACCCTTTTGTTCCACTGTCTTCTGCCATTTTTCAGGCAACTTCATAATTCCATCTTCCCAAAACTTTTTATCTTTTTGAGCAAAGAACTATTCCAGGTGCCTTTTACAGTCTTCCAGGGAATTGAAATTTTTTCCATTAAGAGAATTTTGTAAACACCGAAATAAATGGAAATCCAAAGGTGCAATGTCTGGTGAACACGGCGGATGAGTCAGAACTTCCCAGCCAAGCTGTAACAGTTTTTGTCTGGTCATCAAAGAAACATGCGGTCTTGCGTTATCCTGATGGAAGATGATACGTTTTCTGTTGACTAATTCTGGACGCTTTTCATCAAGTGCTGCTTTCAGTTGGTCTAATTGGGAGCAGTACTTGTTGGAATTAATCGTGTGGTTTTCCGGAAGGAGCTCATAACAGAGGACTTCCTTCCAATCCCACCATATACACAACATCACCTTCTTTGCATGAATACTGGCCTTTGGTGTGCTTGGTGGTGGTTCATTTCGCTTGCCCCACGCTCTCTACCGTTTCACATTATTGTACAGTATCCACTTTCCATCACCCGTCACAATTTGTTTTAAAAACGGAACGTATTCATTACGTTTAAGTAGAGAATCGCATGTGGAAATAGGTCAAGAAGGTTTTCTACACTTAATTTATGTGGAATCCAGACCTCAAAGCGATTAAAACGTAACCAAGCTGGTGCAAATGATTTTCAACGCTTGATTTGGATATTTTGAGTACGTCAGCTATCTCCCACGTGGTATAACGTTGATTGTTCTCAGTTAATGTCTCGATTTGATCGCTCTCAACTTCAGCTGGTCTACCTGACTGTGGAGCATAGCCCAGTGAGAAATCTCCAGCACAAAACTTCGCAAACCACTTTCGACACATTCGATCAGTCATAGCACCTTCCCCATACACTACACAAATCTTTCTTTGTGTTTCAGTTGCATTTTTACCTTTCTTGAAAGAATAAAGCATAATATGCTGAAAATGTTGCTTTTTCCTTCCATTTTCAATATTAAAATGGCTACAGAAAAGTTCACCAATTTTGATGTCTTTTTTTTTAAAATGCACGCTGATATGACAGCTGTCACATACAATCTAACAAAACTGTTTCAAACGAAGTTAAAGACAACTAAGTGCTACTAGAACCATCTTACGGAAAAAACGGAACGAACCTTTTGGCCAGCCCAGTATCACAGAATTGGAAATAGCTTGATAATTTTATGTATTCTCCACTACACTCTAAGCTAGTCAAAGACAGGGAACTTAGTACTCATTGTACTTCTAGCTTCTTCTTAACTTCACGTTTGAATTAACTCAAGTACAAATTTTAGAATATGTGTTAGAAATTCCTAGAAAGGTCAGTGCAAGTGTTTTTGAGAGGGAGGGTGAGATGCCTCATAGGAGGAGTAGCCTCAGTGCCCAGGGGAGTTGTTTGCAGGCTTTTTTGTAGTTCCTGCAGCCTGTAGGAACCCTTAAAGGGACTTTCTCTGAATAGGTGAGTGACCTGAAAACCACGTTTTGGAAATATTGATCTTCTAGCAGTCCTGGTCCTATGGATGGTATGATAGATTGGAAGAGGGAGAAACTAGAGGAAAGAAGTTTGCTGAGGGAGGGGTCCGTGGTGTAGATCTCAGCAGAGATACGGACCTGAACTTGGGGTGGTAACAGTGGGAACAGAGTGGGGGAATGGGCGCTCGGCTAGAAAGAAGCACTTTGTGCCCAAGTGATGGTGGTGATCAAAGAGAATGAATCAAAGTTGATTCGATTTTGAGTTTAGAGAATCTGGGATAAAGACATTTCATGGCAAGTCAGAAAGGACCACCAATGTGAGAAGTAAGTTGAGTTTAGTTTGGTACACATGAGCAAGGGAACACTGGGATAACCAAGTAGCAATACGTTTGAACCGTTTGTAAATACAGGACTCGGAGTTTGGTGAGAAGATAGCGGTTGTCAGCATTCAGTAGAAGGGGAAGTTAACGGGAAAGGAGGAGTTTTTAATGGTGTGTGCTGTAAAGACTTAGAAGACTGATTTCTGTTGGCCATTTCCAGGTTGGAGAGACAGGAAGAAAGAGGCAGTCAGTGAAACAAGGGCATAATCAGTGAGGAAGAAGGAAAGTCAGGATATTGCAATAAAGGTCCTCTGATACTCGCGGGGGAGAGTTTCAGTGAATAAATGCAATACACAGCGCCAGATGTTACCAAGAAATCAGAGAGATGTGCCCTTAAAAAAAAAAAACTGTCACAAGTTATTTGTTTTAAATATTGAGTTTAAATTCCTACAGGACTTTGGACAACACACATAGGTAGTTAAGGTATCTTGTTTAGCATTAAGGGAGGACCAGCGTTCGGGTATTGGTAGCTTCATTTTGACTTATTCCCAAATTTCGTGATACCACAAAATCCAGAGATCAAAAATGTACCCAAAGCATAAAATACACTCTAATGAGATTTCTCAAGGTGAATTATTGTTTGGAGTTGGCTAACTCCTTGCTTTGTATTTTGATTCTTTTCATAGTATTGGCTAAATATTTGTTAAAGAAAATAAATAGAAAAGAAGATACACAAAACCTATCAAGTTGCCACCTCCTTGTAGATCACATTGAATTTATTCAATACCAGGTAATCATTAGACTTTTCATTTATCAGAACAACAGAGTTGCCACAGGTGGGCTAAAGAGCAATGGATCACCTTGATAAACTGTTGGCACGAGGTTTTTGCATGCTTTTCAGAGGAAGTGCTTTTCCTTGGTGTCTTGTGCCTTAATCATTTACCTTCCTCCAAGTTTTGTACCTTTCTAATTACAGTGCTTCAGGGATTGTGGTTTTACGTGTGGACTTACTAGGTGGAGTTGGGGGGTGTGGACAGGTACAGAACGAGATTAGGGAGAATGCTTTTGGTTTTGTGGTGGCGGTTTTGTTATCTGGTGTATAATCATAAAAACTCAGGAACATTCGCGCTTTCAATCAGATGGGTCACACACACCAAAAACTTGAATGAAAAAACCATGGAGTTTGATTGCTAAGCTAGAAATATATTTATTAAAATGTAGTCTTCGGTCTTCACCGTGTTTTCTGTCATTAACAATTTTTATTTAGAACGCATGCTGATTCTGCAAAATCCACCCCTTCGGAGACAGACTGCAATGATAACGTCCCTTCTCATAAAAATCCTGCTTCCTCCCAGAGCAAACATGGAGTGAATGGCTTTTTCCAGCAGCAGATGATGTATGACTCTCCACCGTCTCGGGCTGCATCCATTTCCGTAGACTCCAGCCTTTATAACCTGCCCAGAAGTCACTCCCATGACGTCTTGCCAAAGGTGTCTCCTTCAAGTACCGAAGCCGACGGAGAGCTCTATGTTTTTAATACCCCATCCGGGACCTCGAGTGTAGAGCCTCAAATGAGGCATGTATCTATTAGTTATGACATTCCTCCAACACCTGGTAATACTTATCAGATTCCACGAACATTTCCAGAAGGAACCTTGGGGCAGACGTCAAAGCTAGACACTATTCCAGATATTCCTCCACCTCGGCCACCGAAACCGCATCCGGCTCATGACCGATCTCCTGTGGACACGTGTAGCATCACACGCACAGCCTCTGACACTGACAGTAGTTACTGTATCCCGACAGCAGGGGTGCCACCGTCCCGTAGTAATACCATTTCCACTGTGGATTTGAACAAATTGCGAAAAGGTCAGCTCCAGTTGGCTTTTCCTGGCTTAGAGGTTAATGATAGAAAATCTCTTTTTCTGAGTATTTGTTCTTGGACACTTAGTGTGACATTAAATGGGAGTCCCTTTTTTCTTCAGCGCTGCAGTTACCCACTCGGGTAGCGAAGCTGTCAGAGCCTCAGTAGATCCCAGGAAGTGTGTTTGTGCAGGCAGCGTGTGCCTGTGTACATGTTGTGGTGGAAGGGAGAAAGACGAGGAGATTTTCATCCCTAAGAAGTATGGCCTTAGTAATACTTCCCTGCCTCAGGGAGTGTGCACCACTCTCTCTCACTTCCTCTACATCCTGGGTGAGCAGACCCGATGGGGAAGAGGCACAGGAAATGGACCAGCCGCAAAGCCTTTCCCAGTCATACCCTTTCCCGTATTTGTGTCCTATTACGGCCGCTTCTGTGTCACATCTGTTGGGCTCTGTTTCCTTCCTTCCCAGATCAACGGTTTTTACGTTATGTCTACCAGGTGATATTCAGTTGCAATCAGGTCATTCTGCTTTTTGTTTGTTTGATTTTATTTATTTTTAAAGCTCTGAATCTTCTCTCCCCTTACCCCTTAGCCACTTCACTGACTCCTGTACCATCTTCCTAGAGCCTGCCAAAAGTTATAGACTTTGAGAGGAGAAAAATTGAGTCTGGGTTAGCCTCTGAGGGTCCTAAAGTCCTGAAAATAAAAAGCCCAAGTTTAAAAGGCACCCACCCTAAAAACTACATCTGACACTTCTAGATTTTGTGGTAGAGTTATCCAGCTGTTCTAAAGAAGTTAAAGATTTGATGCCTTGTGGATGGTACTTATGTCAATACTTATTTAGCCATTCAACACCAATTTCTAACTTCTTTCTCGAAATGGCTGTAATGTATCTTGAGATGGTTATAAGTTAGTGAGATATAAGTTATACCCAAGGGTGCAAAAGATAAGAAAACAGAAGTATTTCTTTTCTCCATCTTTAAATAACCCATCTCACTGTCATAATCAAATACTGGTACTGGGGCTTCCCTGGTGGCGCAGTGGTTGAGAGTCTGCCTGCTGATATAGGGGACATGGGTTCGTGCCCTGGTCCGGGAAGATCCCACATGCCACGGAGCGGCTGGGCCTGTGAGCCATGGCCGCTGGGCCTGCACATCCGGAGCCTGTGCTCCGCAGCGGGAGAGGCCACAACAGTGAGAGGCCTGTGTACCACAAAAAAAAAAAAATACTGCTACTGGTTAGCATATGAATAAATGTCTGCATTTTCTAGTGGCTTAATGTTTCAATTCAAGATGTTATTCTGTGAGCATCCTTTTTAAGATCTGTGTGTGTGCATGCATGCATATATGAAGAGAGAGAGAGAAGGTCATTCCTGATTACTCTGGGAACTGGGGAGAAATATTGATAGTTTGTTCTCTGTTTTAGATGCTAGTTCTCAAGACTGCTATGATATTCCACGAACATTTCCAACTGATAGATCTAGTTCACTCGAAGGCTTCCACAACCACTTTGTAAGTATAATTGACCTTGGCATCATCAAGTGTATTTCATTGTCAAAACCTTCGCACTTAGGACCCTGAGACTAAATGAGATCCTGAAAAAAAGTCCCTTCAGATCCACGTGAATAGGCATAACTCACAATTGTGTTTTCCTGTTTGACAGTAGTTCTTCTTTATTAAAAGAAATGTATGTGTGTTTTAGAAAATCAAAAATGTATTGACAGTGGGGAGTGTATCAAGCGAAGAACTGGATGAAAATTATGTCCCCATGAATCCCAACTCTCCTCCACGACAACATTCCAGCAGTTTCACGGAACCAATTCAGGAAGCAAATTATGTGCCAATGACTCCCGGGACATTTGATTTTTCTTCATTTGGAATGCAAGTGCCTCCTCCCGCTCATATGGGCTTCAGGTCCAGCCCGAAGACCCCCCCTAGAAGGCCAGTTCCTGTTGCAGACTGTGAACCACCCCCCGTGGATCGGAACCTCAAGCCAGACAGAAAAGGTAAGGAGAGCGTGGCATGGTAAAAGGGCCGGGGGTTGCCAGCTGAGATCTGCATTTAACTGTCGTTAAATCCAAAACAGAATCGGGACTAGAAATTCAGAAGTATTTCATATTACCTAAGTTACCAGCTTGTTTAAGTAAAGTAGTAGTGCTGTGTATAGATTAATAATTATTATGTCATATGTTGATGCCCAGGTGAGATTTTTTTTAAGACTCCTATCTCTGGAGCAGAGGTTACAAACTAAACTATTCACAAGGATTGGCAAGCAACAGGAGATAATTAGGAGAGACTGGAATGCCCTTGGCCCGGCCAAATGGAGTCACTAATTACTGCCTGGCTACAATCCTTTGTGGACTTGTGAAGCTAACATGGGCCCCCTAGAGGAAAATCTTCTGATTATCAAAAGAAGTCAAAAATTTGGGGGTTTTTATATGTATTTTCTTTTGATTTTTAAGTTCTACCAGCTAGTTTAATTATTTAAAAAAAAACAAAACATTGCAGACCGTACCACAGACTTTTACAAGCTAGATATGGTCTTTGGCTGGTCTTTTGTAACCTCTCCTCCAGAGTATTTAATATCAAATCAGACTTGAGATTATTAGTGCACTTGCCATGATTCTTTAAGATCAGTAAGGTTGCTTGTATACTCTTTGCATTCTGTGCATATAACAACTTTTTAAAAATGATTCTGCCTTTGCTGGGGTGTAAACAAATGCTTCTAGTCTATTCTTTCATACTGGCCTTCATAAGTAACATTAAAGTCTAAGGTGGCATGGTTGGTTAAGAACTCAGTGTAAAAGAAACTTTTCAGCCAGTCTGGTAATATGTACCCAAGTTTTTGAAATTTGGGTTCAAGTGGTTAAACCCCAGCCAGCCAGCTGTGTTGCCGCAGGCTGCAAGTGTGATTGAATCTCGACAACCAAGTAAGTTAGTGTATTGGCTGTGAGATGCGTGGCACAATTTCTGGGGAATTCAGCACATTTGAAGAGTCTCCTATGCTCTATGTAGCTGTTTTTAAAAAGCATGTGATGTTTGTGTCAATTTCTCATTAACCTGGGCTTGGATCATTAATAGTCATTCTAATTAAGTTCCCAGTGTGGGGGACAGAGACTGAGACTCAGAGTATCTTAAGAAAATGAGTTTTGTTTTGTTTTGCTTTTAAGAAAGTAAATGAAAAGAGAACGTTAGCGGCAACTGAGACACTCCTAGGAGGCTGTCACTTTGTCCTGCTCTCCCTGCATTTCTGTCCTCTGGAAACTCTTTGATCCTGCTTTGCTCTCCCTCACATTCTTTCCTTCTTTCCTGTTTTCTTTTACACTGCATCCTCTACTTTCCGGCTTTCTGCTGTCAGAGAGCTTTGGCCTCTGATGCCCCTGCGTGGCCTCGATTCCGCCCCGTGCCTCCTTTTTATGGGCCCTCGCAGCTTCCACACCTGCTGCTAATTGCCTTGTTCATTATTGACTCACTCCAGATCGCTCAGCGAAAGTTTGATTGGTCTCCTTTGTCTGTCCACATCAGGCCACAAGACAGATTGTAGATTGCAGGCGAGCCCACGTGTTGGTTGCTGTTGGGTCAAGGGCTCACCTTTGCTCGGAGAGCGGGAGGGATGGTCGCACCCCCCCCCCCCCCCCCCGTCACCCCAGAGGCCCCAGCAGCAGAGCCATGATCAGGGCTGGCTATTTTAGAAACAGTGTGAGCATCCCAGGCTTTTTAGGTGATAACTTTTCCTTTTGTTTCTCTTGGTCCTCATTTGTTTTTAAATCTATTTAGACATCCCTCGTCATTTTCTTCTTTGCATACAACACACAAAAGTATGTTTGGACATGTATAGGTTTATAATTGAGCCCACAGAGGGTGGAAGGATTAAGATACAAGTGTCAGGAAGTCCGTGAAACATCGAAACCCTCATTTTAATGTGAAACTGGTTCTCTCCTTCTTCTCCTGTAATTAACGCATGTTGGCAGCAGATCGCTAGTTTTTGACACCAAATGTAACCGTTTTATATCTTGAGGTCCCCACATAAATATGGTCATGGTGTGCTGTGGGTGATGCATGGAGCTCTGAGTCCTTGCGGCTTTGCTCCCCTGCCTCTCCTTCCTCCCTTCAGGATCTGCTTAACACAGTTTGAAAATTCCAGTATATTTCACAGTTAATGGTTTCACGTGGTAAGCGCAATGCAGAATCAGAAAAGGTCCCTATTTACATGTTGGAAAGTTTTAGGATCGTAATGAAATGCTTTTAGTATCATCTAGGTCTGACAGAGTTCACGTACCCCCATATTGTAGTATATGTTATTTTACGTAGGCAGCATAATAAAATGGCATGTGTATTATACATCATGTATATTGCATAATTAAACCTCCCTATGTAAATATATAGTGAAAGTACTATATATTCTAGTACATGAGAGACTGTCCTAGTCCTCTAAACCAACCAATGGCGACCCTACTGTAGAACAGAACAAAGTAGGTTCCTTGGTTACTTTTGGAGATTCTGTTTAGTCTTTAAAAAATTAACTGAGCTATTGAAAGACAATCTTGAGCTCATGGGCCAGATTACTGATTTGGTATCATTGCTTAGATACAAAATGAACTGAAAAAGCACCCAGAATAAAATTTCCACATAGTTTTTGGCAAATTCAAGGAGAATAATAGGTTTAGCAAAACAGTAAAGAAGTTACTTAAAGTCTTAGTTATAAAAAAAAAAAAAAGGGGGTGGGTTGCTTTTCTTATTCCTCTACTTTTTAAAATAAATGATACAAGAGAAGGCATGAGAAAGTATCTAATATTGCAAGGCAAACTTTGTCAAGTCACTTTAGAAAGTTATAGCTATTCGAGAAAAACATTTTAAAACCCAAATTCAGATCTTGGAGCAAAGTTTATCCATAAAAACTTAAACCGTAAAACAGATGTCTTATTTCGTCCTGAAATTCTTCTCATGGTGCTAGCATCTGATGAGTCTGTTTTCATTTCAAATTTTGTGACATCAGATACATGAGTCTGTCTATTGTTCTAGTATCTCTTATTAACTAAACCTCATAATAAGCAAACCTTATTCTATAAAATATGGCTTGATTAGTTCTAAAACTCGATATAACTAACTCAACACCCAGTATAACTGGTTTCTGTGATCGTCTTCTTGGGAAGGGTCTACAATAAATGAGTGACATTCTAGTCTTGTTTATACCCCCAATTATAGATGTCAGCTGCTGTAGTTAGTAGTACGCATGAGTTTTTCAAATACTTCTGAGTAATTGAAGCTGCAGAAATACGTGCATGTTTTAAACACTTACATTCAATGTATTTTCATGGACACTTTACCCAGTCACCCAACTGTGGTAGCTATATTTTCACCCATACTATTTCTGTCACAATAGTATTTGTCCTGAACTGTATCTTGTGTATATTAACAGAGGAGAAAATCATAATTTACATGTACTGTGTTAAATATTAGGTAGGCAGATGAGTCATTGGAAATGCAGGACAAATTCTGTTTTGATTACTTCAACTGAAACTTTTATATTTTAATGGAAAAGCAACTTTGTAAAGTTTGGGACATTTCTATAAGATATTGTGATTTCTCTTAAAGTAAGTCCTTGCATAAATCTACCAGATTTCATCTGTGCATTTAACTGGGCCCATTCACTCTCTTTCTAACGTGATATAGCAGCTGTTCAAGCCTCAGATATACGGTCTTTATATTTTGTTTTGTTTGGCTTTGTCCATTCATGGCTTTCTGCAGTAGATCTGACCATTAGTTATTGTATTGGTTTTAAAAAAGCAGTGCGAGGTTACTTCTGGTGTTTTCGTATGTTCATTTGGTTAAAATATCTTCAGGTCCTGCTGGATCTTTGCTTTGCTATAGGAAGGATCCAGAAAACCAATCGAGGAGCTTCCCTAGGTGGATCTTTTTGGTATCTTTGCTATAAATATTTGCTCAAGAGAGCTTCTAAAGAAGTTTTTTGAAAGCGATTAAAAATTAACATGCTTTTGGGCTTCCCTGGTGGCGCAGTGGTTGAGAGTCCACCTGCCGATGCAAGGGACCACGGGTTCATGCCCCGGTCCGGGAAGATCCCACATGCTGCGGAGCGGCTGGGCCCGTGAGCCGTGGCCGCTGAGCTTGCGCGTCCGGAGCCTGTGCTCCGCAATGGGAGAGGCCACAACAGTGAGAGGCCCACGTACCGCCAAAAAAAATAAATAAATAAAATTAACATGCTTTTGAAAAACTACTTTTATACTATAATAAATGTTTGGAAGATGGATAAATGATACCAGTAAATATAGCTAGATTTTAATAAACAAGTATTAAAGTTTGACTCTCAAGTCAGATTTTTGGGTTGGTGGTTACAGTTTAAAGGAAATGAGTACAGAGTGCGTTTTTACAGCACAGCCTCTACGTGCGGGTTTTTTTACCCAAATATTCCTGACCTTCCAATATAATTATCATTATTATAGTCCCCTTTATACAATGAGACTATTCAAACAAGTGTAAAAGTTTTTCAGTGTGCTACCTTGATTACTCCTTGGAATTAGCAGAGGATAATAATGTTGTGAATTATTTTTCTTCTTTCTTGATTTCTGAGATGCCTACTGGAAATAGTAGCATCATCTGTGAAACTTCAGATAAGTGAATAATTTAGGCTAAGTTAGACCTATAATGATAGAGAAAATAAATTTTCCACTTTGAGTTGAATTTATGTAAGCAATACCTATTAAAATAATAATCGTGTATGGACTTTCCAAAAAGGACTGCATCTGCTTCTTTGAAGCATGACCTCGTATGACTGCCTTGACCATATCTGGAATGATCAACTTTTGAAACAACATTCAGTTGCTTTTTTTCTTTTTTTTCCTTCAAAGGCAAACACAAAGTTATGACATTGATCAGATTAAACACCACCATCAGATTAAGCTTTAAGAGAACTGCAGCTCATCAAAACAGATTGAAGGGCCTCCCAGTTATAGGATGTACCCTCTGATAGGTCTGGGGTCTGGAAACCCAAGGAAGGACAGGTGGCTTCTCTAAAGAAGCTCCCATTTAGTGGGAAAGTGGAAAAGTAAACACATTATCATAATTAGCACAGATGGGGGCTTGTGGTTGAGGTTAGCTCTTGGCCCTGCAGGCTGTCTCCTCTGACAAGAATCTCAGAGGGTGAGTGGCAATGAAATGATGATAGAGGATCTTCTATCAGAATAAACAGCATACCCAGATCCTTTAAAAAGAGGGGACTGGCTCAGAGTCTTGGGTGGGAGGGAGGAAAGTATGAATGCAGGAACGAATGCCAAATGCCTGGCAGGTGCCAGCTCCTGGGGTTTTTATAATCCATGCTAATGAGTTTGGGCTTTATTCTGAGAACACCATTAAAGGGTTTTATGTAGGCAAGTAACATAATCAGGTTGGCCCCTAGAAAGCTCGTTCTAAGATTTAAGGATACCATAGGGGAAAAATGGTATTTTTTAATGCAAACTGTTATAAAATCACACTTTTTTTCAGCATCTTCTTTAAAGAGTGCTTTGCCCGGTGTTCCAAACCTAGGGTTCTTGACGCCTTGCTTTGGAGATGATCAGACAGGAAGGCATAACAAAAGTCCCTGTCCTGACTCGAAATAGCTGCCTCCACTTGGGGACCTAGAGTGAGTGATTTTTACAAGTTTGGAGGCCACTTGGAGTGTAAGTGGAGGTCATTTAGCCATACCGTGTGAGTTCACTTTCAGAAAAACAAACCAGGTACGTGCAGTGCACATTAAAAAAAGGAAGCCAGGACTTCAGACTTACAGATTCTTTAATTTTCTTGGATAAATGAAAACAAACGATTGCCATTATAAATAGAAAGTAAAATTGATAAAGGGAAATCAGAGAACGTGGAATCTAGAGTAACTCTTAAGAGATCTGCTATGGCAACTGCAGACAGAGGAAACAAAGCAGGTGTGGTGGGTCCCAGAAGATAAATTCCATTTCGAACATGCAGTGTGAAAGCCTACAGAACAGAACCTCCATGTGGGGTGACTTTGTAGGTATGCCAATAAGGATCTTAGGGAAGATCTGAACCAGAGGTTAAGATTTACCAAGTTGTGCTCCTAATGAGAGAGCAGATCACATGATCCAGAGATTGACAGCCCCGGGTGAGATTGTTTTAACCCCTGAGGGTTAAAGCACAATGGGGTGCTCTTTGCTGAAGAAATGCCTCATGTCGCTTTCTTTGTTCAAACCTAATCTAGCTGAAGCCTCCTTGTAACTGTCTTGGATTTAAAAGCTGAGGCTCAAGTGAGTTATTTAACACTGTTGACTCTTAGAATTTGAGAATCAGTGTATCCCAGGAGTTGGTTCATTTGCTGCCTCTGCTTTAGTCTTATCTCATACCCTTTATTGTGGCACTTAAGTAATTAGAGAAGCATTCCAGTATTTGCCTCTAGGCAGCAGAGGAGAAGTACATACAACTTGGACTTTTTTTCCTTTCTCTCCTCATAAGTAATACTGAGCCATCATTTGAGTATCACTTTCATTTCTGTCTGGAACATAAATGTCAAATTGAGCCAGGCAGTAAAAATAACAAAGAAATGAAGCTACCAAAATGCCTGAGCGACTGGGTTCAATTCAGGGCAACATTTTCACCTTGAGGCGTTTGTCCTAAGCTCAGGCTTAAGTTTTGCATGGAGTAGAAAATACATGGAAATTTTATAAGTGCACTATTAAAAAATTCACTTAGTACGGTATCTTTCTGTGAAGAGCGCCAAGGAGTACCCTTGAGAGTACTTGAGAGAGTTAGGAAATTTTCATGTTTTATAAGCTAGAAAATCACATTTTCCAGAACTTGTAGATTTTGGTCAATAAGGTGCTAGAGATCAGCATTAAATCAGCGAACTCTAATATTATTTTCCATCTAATAGATGTCAACTCAGTTTTGTACATGCCAAGAAAAAAGAGAATTTGGTGCCATTGAGAATGAAGTAGTTTAAATTCCTGATTGAAATGATATTGCTACTCTGGCATCCAGGCTTCCAGTGGGAAAAAGTATGAGGCCAGCTGCTGGGTATTAAACCTGTACTTTTCATAAGGCTTTTCAGCAGTACTAGTACATAACAGAGATTAAACGAAAAAAAAAAAAAAAAGATGGCAACTGAATTTATACTTTCCAATTCTCAAATTAAAGCTAGACAGTCAGCAGTTCCAGAATCTAGACATCTAATCCTTGCAAAATGGTGTCACGGGGGCAACCACTGAGTGTTCAGGGAAAAGAAATGCTGGTCTTGATTTTGACTTTGGAGTAGCAGACATTGTATCAGTAGAACTTCTCTAGAAGGGCGCTTTCAGGTGGTGAAGGAGTAGTCAGATTAAGGTTTTTAAAACACCTCCATCAAGTTAAGAAAGTAGGCCTTGGTACTTTCGTATGAGACACCAGACTTCAAAGGAAAGATGTACTTGCGATCTGACTGAGAGGTTTTATAATTTTTTATTGGATCCAGTTTTCTAAGGCATGTTAGAAGAGTAACTAACATGACACGTTTTTCCTCTCTTCCTCCAAATAAAGGTAACAACTAACCAAGAAGTTATGCCACTAAAACCCTACCATCTTTTATAACAGTTTGCTTATTACATTGTTGCATGCAGCTTCGGCGTTCCCATGGTATTGAGCATGAATGATATGCATAGCCAGACTGAAATAGTCTCCACAAACAAACTTTTGTTTATGCTTTTGAGATGTAACATGTCTGCTCAGGGCTCTGTTGCTTTTTTACAGAATCCATTTTTTTTCCAATTAAAAAAATAACATTATATTAAGAGAGTCTTCTTTTTACCAATTAGGTCAAAGTCCTAAAATTTTAAGACCCAAACCCCATGGTTTAGAGCGAACTGATTCACAAACCATAGGTGACTTTGCTACAAGAAGAAAGGGTATGTACTTTAGCACCGCATGCTGGATGGGGTGTTGGGAATTTATGTATTCTGTGATGTTGTTTCCTTTAAAAGTAAAGGAGAAGAGTCTTAAATACTACTTTGTTGTAAATAAAACTTCCCAGCGTGTAATTTCTAAAGTGAATGCTTCCCATAATATACAGCGAGTATATTTGTTATGCCATTAACAGCAGCATGTTAAATATTTGATAATATATGATATTCAGTCTTTTCCTTTTGCATTATTCTTTTAACCTTTTAGACATCAATAGAGTGTTTTCTTTAAGCTTGTGAGATGCTTGTGAGTTCCAGTTGTCTCCTGTATTTATGTATAATGTATATATTCTGTTCTGAGACAATATATAATCATTTCCATGGATTCATTATTTTATGCCATTACTTAGAATTTGACAGCTAAGCAGCTCTTAGCCTCTGTGTTTTAAAAAAAGTGCAAACATCAGAGTTAAAGAAATACTTGCAAGTGAGCACAGCATTCTGTACATGTCCATTTTAAGTGTATAGATGAGCAAAATTATTTTAACTCAAACTTAAATCAACGTAGCCTTCAGAAAATCTCATTGAATTTTTTTGTGTTTGAGTTGCCAAAAATACTTCGGCATAAACCCCAGAGAATCTACGTAATCCTTTAAAATGACTACCTATTTTATAGTTGGAAGGTAATTATAACTTGGTTGATTCAATGTACACATATATGCACAAAGACTAGAGGAGGGATGCCTGGAAAAAATGAAGACTTTTTCTTTAGAGTGGCAGGATGACGTGTAACTAAAATATTTACCTAATATGTTTAAATAGTATCCTAAAATATAATGAATATTAACAAATAATATTGTTGAAGTTCTTTTGCTCATGTCATGAATTTCTGAAAACTGAGTCTTACTTTAAGGGCGAAGAGCTCTGTGGAATATATACTGGCAGAGTAATTAATTGTCCACTGCAATCATAGGGTAAATAAGAAAAGACAACTTATAAATAAAGCTAATAGGAACATTAGCATTTATTTTTACTTAATTTGTTAAAGGATGTTGTTGGTTAAATTAAGCTAAAAATTTGAGACAGTTGTTAAATTGTGGCCTTTTCTCAGAGCAGAGTTTGAGTATAAAGATATAATTATTGCTTTGTTTTATTTGGTTCCAGACTGGGCCTGAATTAATTTAAAAGGTTTGGTTATTAATTCTTTTTGTCAGTTTTTGGTTTTGGCGAAGTTTTGTGTGTATTGCTTCCTAAACATCATTTTATATGTATAGTTGTATAAATGATGCTTCAATGTTGATGACGAGGACTGTTTTTACATAGAAAATTAAATGTCCGTGTTTGAGGATAAAATTAGTGAAAAAAATAAAATAAGGAAATAATGAAAAGTACAAATCAAGTAACTATGAAGGAATTGGGTCACATTACTCTTTCTTGTTCTCATTGTTTATATTCATAAAATATTTACTTAAGAAGCAACATGTTGTAATAATAAAGTTTTATTTAGACTTTCAGTCAACAATCAGGAAACATTATCTGATTTAGCTTTTGCCACTAATTTTTTAGCTGTGTGACCTTGGAAAAATCACAAACCATCAGTGTGCTTCTTTTCATGTATGAAATTAAGCTGGTCCTAGGCGTACAGTGGCTATAATGTATAAATAGAGATGTAGAAAGAGGGTCTTGTTTTGTTTTCCAAATTTCTGTATGCTAAAGTCTCTTTTTTTTTTTCTCTTTTGTTTCAGTCAAGCCAGCACCTTTAGAAATAAAACCTTTGCCAGAATGGGAAGAATTACAAGCCCCAGTAAGATCTCCCATCACGAGGAGTTTTGCTCGAGAGTAAGTCTTTGTTTAAAATACTTAGCTTGATTGTGCATCATAATGGAGAGTAACTAGAACAGTGGTTCCCAAAGGATGGTCTGGGGAGCCTCCCTTTTTGGGGTTCTGTGAAGTCAAAACTATTTTCATGAATATACTAAGATGTCATTTGCTTTTCCACTCTCCTTCTCTCATGAGTGTACACTGGAGTTTTCCAGAGGTGGCATAATGTTGGACGATATCGTTGTGACAGCTAATAGTGTATGTATTTGTGTACACTTGTCTTTTTAAATTTTTTTCTATTATAGGTAATGTGGTAAATATCAGTAGATATCACCCATATTAACCAAAGTTCCTTGGGGGTCTCAGTAAATTTTAAGAGTGTGAAAGATTCATGAGGCTAGAAATTTCTGAGAACTACTGCTCTGGAAAATACGGTAGTTTCTTGTAGGGATTATTTAATGGAGATTCATTTAAATGTATATGTGGAAATGAAAAGAATGTTTGTAGTTACAAACCTGTGTTGAATGTGTACGTGTGTGAATATATGTGTGTGTGTGTGTGTATGTGTATATATATATGTTTTTTTAAATAGTAATTCTTAAATCTTCCTTTTTATATCTGTGTCTTTCTACTTATCCTCCACATCACTAGCAATACTTTTTTCGTTGTTCTGCAGAAGGTACTTTGTTGTTGTTTTTTTTAAACATCTTTATTGCAGTATAATTGCTTTACAATGGTGTGTTAGTTTCTGCTGTATAACAAAGTGAATCAGTTATACATATATCCCCATATCTCCTCCCTCTTGCGTCTCCCTCCCACCCTCCCTATCCCACCCCTCTAGGTGGTCACAAAGCACTGAGCTGATCTCCCTGTTCTATGCACTGCTTCCCACTAGCTATCTATTTTACATTTGGTAGTGTATATATGTCCATGCCACTCTCTCACTTCGTCCCAGCTTACCCTTCCCCCTCCCCGTGTCCTCAAGTCCATGCTCTAGTAGGTCTGTGTCTTTATTTCCGTCTTGCCCCTAGGTTCTTCATGACTTTTTTTTTTTTTTAGATTCCATATATATGTGTTAGCATACAGTATTTGTCTTTCTCTTTCTGACTTACTTCACTCTGTATGACAGACTCTAGGTCCATCCACCTCACTACCAATAACTCAATTTCGTTTCTTTTTATGGCTGAGTAATATTCCATTATATATATGTGCCACATCTTCTTGATCCTGCAGAAGGTACTTTGATGCTCAGAGATACCCCTTTACAGAAGCAGACTTGAAGACATAGAGAACAAGCTAGTGGTTACCAGTGGCGGGGTGGGGGGGGGCTGGAAATAGGGTGGGGAAGTGGGAGGTACAAACTACCTCCCACTACGAGATAAGTGGGAGCTCATCTTGGGTGTAAGATAGGCTCAAGGATATATTGTACAACACGGGGAATAGAGCCAATAGTTTGTAATAACCGTAAATGGAAAGTAACCTTTCAGAATTGTGTAAAAAAATCAAAAATTTTTTCAAAAAGAAAATATCCCTTTACAAATAGTTATAAATATTAGTTGTGCATTTGAATGTGTGTGATAAATTGTACAGTAATAAATGCGTACAATAAATGATTGTAAGCATAAATGTTTCTGGAAGAATGTATACTATCACTCATTTTTACTTTCAAAGCAAATTGAGAAATTTTGGTCAGGGTGTGTGTTTGTGATGGTCATCTCTGTAATCAGCTCCTCCAGGTTTCCCATGTCTCCCCGGCCGGATTCAGTGCACAGCACGACTTCAAGCAGCGACTCACATGACAGTGAAGAGAATTATGTTCCCATGAACCCAAACCTGTCCAGTGAAGACTCAGTAAGTAGAATCTTCTCTTAACGTCTCTCTTCCTGAGCAGCCCTTCTGAATCATTCACACTAGACCTTTCTTCCAGTCCATACACCTTACCCTTCCATCTTTCTTTACTTAAGGAAAAAGGATAAAAGACAATTTTTTAAAAATGCTTTTGGGGGCTTCCCTGGTGGCGCAGTGGTTAAGAATCCGCCTGCCAATGCAGGGGACACAGGTTTGAGCCTTGGTCCGGGAAGATCCTACATGCGCGGAGCAACTGAGCCCATGCGCCACAACTACTGAGCCTGCGCTCTAGAGCCCGTGTGCCACAACTGCTGAAGCCCATGCGCCTAGAGCCCGTGCTCTGCAACAAGAGAAACCACCGCAATCAGAAGCCCGTGCACCACAACAAAGAGTACCCCCAGCTCACCCCGCAACTAGAGAAAGCCCGCACGCAGCAATGAAGACCCAACGCAGCCAAAAATAAAATAAATTTTAAAAATTAAAAAAAAAAACTTTATATAAAAATGCTTTTGAAAAACAGCATCATCAAGTCTAAAACCAATAAAGGGTCAAAGTGTAATATTAATATCTATAAAGTAGATACAAGTTAGTTAAAAATCACAAAATTTGGGCTTCCCTGGTGGTGCAGTGGTTGAGAGTCTGCCTGCCGATGCAGGGGACACGGGTTCATGCCCCGGTCCGGGAGGATCCCACATGCCATGGAGCGGCTGGGCCCGTGAGCCATGGCCGCTGGGCCTGCGCGTCTGGAGCCTGTGCTCCGCAGCGGGAGAGGCCACAACAGTGAGAGGCCCGCATAGCGGGGGGAAAAAAAAAAAAAATCACAAAATTTTCCAGTTATATTTCTTTTAAGATGTACTTTACTTTTGAAACTATTCAAAAAACTACTTTTTACTGGAAGCATTTTATAACGCATTTCTCCAGACCCACATCAGCGCACTCAGTGAAACAGTCTTATGCCGAGGGTTTTTAATAACCTTTCAGTAATACATCCTTAGGTAGGGCTTAAAGATCAAAGAAGACCTGTTAAAACCTGATTTACTTCAGACTGACTGTTATTACCCCAAGGCCCAAGAATTTTGTAATAGTAGCAAGCATTATGTTCCCCAGAAATCAGGTAGTTGCCAGAAAATACTTCAGATGTTTAAAAATACAAGCCAATTTTAATTTTTTAAAAATCTTTTCCTTTTGCTTTCCCTCGAACCAGAGACACTGCTTGCTCTGTTATTTGCTTTTTAGTAGATAAGTATATCAGTTGGCATTAGGATCCCCTCTGAGTAACAGAAAATAAGCAAATAACAAGGCCTTAAGGCAGACGTTTATTTCTTTCTCATGTAGAATTCCAGAGAGTCAGTCGTGGTTGTTGTGGCAGCTTTTTGTTCCAGAAGCCCTCGGGGATCCTTGCCCCTTGCCGCTCTCCAGACTGCTGTCCCCTGGCTCACAGGCTCAATAGAACAAGATGATGCTCCAGCCAGCAGATGCACATTCCAGGCTGCAGAATGGAGGGAAGGAAGAAGAAGCAAAGGATGCAGCCCAATTGCCTCATAGAGAAGGTTCCCAGAAACTGCTGAGTCCAAACTGTTGACCAGGACTTAGCCTCTGGCCACATAAACACGAAAGGGACTGGAAACCGTAGCCTTTGTACCGAGGGACAGTGGGCCTGGCTAAAAACCCCCTTCCCGGTGGAAAGGGGAGAACAGATCATGGGGCACAACTGGGCAGCATATGATAAGCAAATATCTAATGTCAAAATTTGGCATGAATGACATTTTAGTGACTTTATTTTCACTTTAAAACAATTCTGTTCAGAGATTCAATATATAAAGCCCTATTTTTTCATTGAATTTATGTCTTTAATGGACTTTAGGCAGAAACAGATTTCTCATGACCATTTGTCAGGGAACAAAATTAAGTGATTTGAAAAGACTGATTTGATGCTTGATCTAATTAACTTTAAAATATTATCAAATTCATAGAGTATTCAAAAATGAATAAGATAATTTAAAATATTTATGTCAATCCTGAATTACAATACAAACGAACTATATCAATAACATTTTCACTAATGTTTCAAGGTAGGGCAATTTTTATTAACTGACTTTCACTTCTGGGTTTGTAATTTTTCCATTTGATGAGTAGTGTTTTATTATTTCTATTAACTTAATTTTTTTTCTTCATTATAGTAAACAGACTCTAGTAAGAGACTAAGTAGGGCTTCCCTGGTGGCGCAGTGGTTGAGGGTCCGCCTGCCGATGCAGGGGCCGCGGGTTCGTACCCCGGTCCGGGAGGATCCCGCGTGCCGCGGAGCGGCTGGGCCCGTGAGCCATGGCCGCTGGGCCTGCGCATCGGAGCCTGTGCTCCGCAGCGGGAGGGGCCACAGCAGTGAGAGGCCCGCGTACCGCAAAAAAAAAATCTAAGTAAATCCTCAGTGCTGCCTTGGAGTACATGTTACCCTCAATTTTCATCTTTAGGTGATTAAATGAATTTTTTTATTACAAAAGTAATTCTTTTCTGAGATACTAAAGAATCTTTTATTTTGCCCAAAATAGTAAATAAACATAAAAATATTGGAAAGGACCTGTAATAGGAAAGTTTGAAAGTATGATTTGTCATGAGTAGGTGTTAGGTGAAGGGAAAAATCTAGAAAAAATCTGTTACAATCAGAAAATCAAAGGAAAGGAAGATATAAAATTATTCTTTTATATAGTATAACACTAAGCCAGAAAGGTAATTTTACCTGCATGGTAGAGGTGTCTAAATAACCACCAGATAGTGAATTTCTAAGGTACTGAGGCCCTAAGGGTTAGAAATAAGCAAAAATGTCCCAAGTGAAAATATCCATCTGCCATTCACAATAGAAAAGTCAGCTGTGCCATTTCCATCTTATGCCACCAACTGCAAGGGCTCATCTTAGTCCAAACAACTTTTCCTTAGGAATGAATGTAATAGTTACAGCAATATTTCCCACACCTCTTGGAATTTAGTGTATCAGTGGAGAACCATAGACGTTCACAAGGTCTAACATATGCTCAGGTTGATGAAGTCGGTAAAAAATTAGTCTTGGAGAAGTTGAAACAGGATTGGATCAAATCTGGTTTATAGGGACAATGAAAATTAAATTCTGTAGGTTGAAATGTTGAAGCACAGTCTGTTTCCTATACTGGTGATCATGGAGCAGGCAGTGTCTAATGAAAGTGAATTGGTGATGCTGCCTGTTTTTTATACAAACATCCAAAGTCAAGCATTCGTGAAATGAACCCTTAATGTGACGCCTGAAATTCAAGTGACAGTACATCATTACTAAAGACATATATATTGTTTGTAACGACATCAAAAGTATGTTCAATAATTTTATATATTTTTTTCAAGAAGTTTAGAAAAACAAAGTACTACTATATTTTTTCTTTTAATTCACAGAACACTTCATAATAACTCTTCGAATCTTAGGGTTTTTCTAAACTGTTCTGGGAAAACACTGGGTTAAAGCCTAGAATGCAGAGACAGGCTGTTCCCAGTTGAGATTAGATTAGATCAAGAGCAAATAGACTTTTTGGAGGGACACACATTTTAACAATACTTGAAGATGAAAACATTTCCAGTCCTAGTAATTAGACAGAGTACAGTCGAACTAGCAATTCTGAGAAATTCTCTTTAAGAACAGCTTACTGAGATTAAATGTGTACATCATATGAACTCAAGGGTTTCTTTCGTAGCCTACAACACCGTGAATAATTCTAGATGTTTCCAATTAGGGAAATTTCAGGTATGGGCTCTGTCATTACATTTGAATACAAAATTTTACACACGCGCACATACACACACACACACACACACACCATGCAATCTGGCTTGTTTTTTTTATGTGAGAATGAAATATAGAGTCATTTGCAGAAAAAAATTTCAGTTTTTTCATGAATTAGAAGAAAGAGGGGGAGGGGATAGCTATTTGTACTAATTGAGCACTGACACTTGCTTACATTTTTTGTGCCCTACATGTTACTGTCAATATTTTTTTAATGTTTTATTAGCGGTAGTTGATAAATTTGGTTTAAAAATCTGTTCCTACAAATAGGGCCGTCACATTCAGTAGTGCAGGTTGCCTACTGCATACACATGCCACATACAGTATGTAGGATATACAGTAGGCCGCACACATGCTGCATCTGAGTACATGCGACCCAGACCATGTCCCCCTCACCAAGAGTAAACTCAGTGTTTTCCTAGCAATTGTCCTTTCCCTAAGTCACAGCTTAGTCTGTTTAACCCAAACAAAATGGAGTAGCAATATGAAAGAATCAGCAGAACCAGATTTATGCAGTTTCCAAATCACGTTGTTCATCCTAACAAGTATAAAATTGTCAGGTTGATTACATCGTTACGGTTTTCTTCAAAAGTATAAGCTAACATGTGAACAATAATACCTATGTGATAGAAGCCACAGGGATGAAAGTCCCTAATGAATATGTAGTGTCCTGAGAAGTCAGGAACATTCCCAGGTGAGGTTAAAAGCAGCAAGGCGTGGAAACAAGTCATTTGTTGGAGCACATTTGAAGACTGTCATGATCAGAGTAGCAGGTGCATGTAGGGACGTAAGTTCATGTCGTCCTTTCCTTTTTATTTAGCATTGATCTTCATGTTCCTAATAACCTATTTCTTTTTCATTTTTGTGCCTCAAGCTTTTTCATTCTTGTTGTTCATTGCTGTCCTCTCCCTTCCTTTTTTCTTTTTCTTTTCTTAGAGAGGAGTCCTTCTGTTGTACAGTTCCTATTAGAACAGAAAAGATAAGAAGACAGAAAATTAAGTGGTAAAAATTCCAGGCAGTTGAAACAAAACAGACTTTATAAATGGAGTCAGTATGCATAGCCCTTAGCTACCATACTTATTCTAAATTGATTTTAGTGTGAAAGCCTTTAACTCAAATATAGAACTTTAAAGTTTTTTTTAATTTGAGAGGTGAGCTCAGGGTCTTTCTACTCTGCCATCTTGGTCGATCCCTAAAAAAATTTAATTTGAAAGCATGGACTGTAAGGATCCTATAGTTAAAGAATGTTATTGAGAACAGATACCATTTTAATAGCGTTATTGAGAACAGATATCATTTTAAAATATCATTTTAATAGCGTTGAGTTAGACTATTCCAACTGGGAATTCCCTGGCGGTCTAGTGGTTAGGACTTGGCACTTCCACTGTCGGGGGCCTGGGTTCAATCCCTGGTAAGGGAACTAAGATTCCTTAAGCTGCGCGGCACAGCCGGAAAAAAAAAAAAAAAAAAAGGAAAGAAAGAACTGTTGCAGTTAACTGTAGCTTGATGGCCCAGCCTTAGTCTGAACCAAGTTTTACTTTTCAAACTACTTTTAGCTTGCTTACCTATGCTATGTTTTAATCAATTTTTAAAATATTACTTATTTTTCCCCATCCTAAAAGATTATTTAATTTTCTAAGGAGACATTTCTTCAAGCTGTGTCCTCTTAAAATTACTATTTAGGCTTGAGTAGATGGCAAACAAGGTAATAAGCAGTATGTCTCATGAATGTTTGACAGTTGATTTTGTTGTATTTTATTTTCAGAATCTTTTTGGCAGTAATAGTCTTGATGGAGGAAACAGCCCAATGATCAAGCCCAAAGGAGACAAACAAGTGGAATACCTAGATCTAGATTTAGATTCTGGGAAGTCCACGCCACCACGTAAGGTAAGTGAAACCTCATTCTATAAATACACTGAGCTCCCATTTGAAACCTGAAGAATCGGGTCTCCTTTGGGGGAATTTTCTTAGTATGTTTAATTTAAAGTCTGTTACTTAATGCTTTTTCATAAATCACAAAGGTGTTAGACTGATAAATTTATTTTTTCATCTCTGATGGTATGGAAGTTACACGCTTTGTACTCTCTTAGTGATTACCATCGAAATGCTTACTTACTAAATTCTAAAGTTCCAAAGTTAATCATGGTCTTCACTCCCTTTCCGATGTTAGTTCAAATTACTCCTTTTCTGACTTTCTTGGTATTTTTGTCCAAAAGTTTTAGGGTTTTTTGTTGTTCTTGTTGTTGTTACACTCACAAATTAGACGTTAGTAGTAGTAATATTCTTACTATATAGACAATGTTTATATACATTTTCCTACACGTTTACCAACTTCTTTTTTTATCATTCCTTCTTGTGTCTTAGACCTTCCTTCTCTAATCATTTTCCTTCCTCCTTCCTTTAGAAGTTCTTTTCATGGAAGTCTGTTAATGGTAAATTCTTGCAGTTTTTGTTTAACTGAAATGTCTTTATTTTGCCTCATTCTGGAAAATGAGTATTGAGGGTTTTGCGGGGGCAGCAGTTTGAGTTCACAATTCTTAATTGACAGCAAGTTTCTCTCAACGCATAGGAGATACTATTTGCTGTCACCTGGCTTCCATTGTTCCTGTGAAAAGTATGCTGTCAGTCTAATTGCAGTTCCTTTGTAGGTAATCTGTCTTTTCTATCTGGCTGATGTTAAGATCTTTTCTATATCTTTGGTGTTCAGCAGGTTCATTACAGTGTGTCTAGACATAGATTTTTCTTTATTTATCCTGCTTGGTAGAAGTTGTGCAGTCTTTATTTCTGGATTCATATTTTTTGTCAGTTATGGAAAAGTCTGAATCATTATCTCCCTAAATATTGTTTTTCCACGATTCTCTTTCTTCTGTCCTTTTAGGTTTCTGATTAGACAGTTAGAACTTCTCATTCTGTTTTTCTTATCTTTTACCACTCTTTCATATTTTCTATTTTATCATTTCTTTGCTTACGTGTAAAATTTCTTTAGGTCTGTCACCAAGTTCACTAATTTCTCAGTTCTTCTGCTTAACCTATGTGTTTAATTTTTAATCTCAATATTTTATTTTTCACTGCTGAAGTGACATTCTGCTTGGCTTTTTTCCCCCAAATATGCCTATCTGATTTGAATAGCTTCTTACTCCTTTTTTGTTATCCTATTCCTTTTATTTTTTATTTTCCAATTCCTTTAAACATTTTATACATATATTTTATACTATTTATGCAGTAATTTCCATACCTGAAGTCCTTGGAGGTCTGAATCTGTGTTTACCGTTTCTCACACACCTGATGGCTTGTTTCCTTGTGTGTTCGTGCATTTTTATTGTGAATTTATTTTGCTAAGCGTATCTGTGGGAAACCTGCAGACCTAAATTTCCTTCAGAAAGGATTTGCATTTGCTTCTGCTAGGAAGCAGGTGATGCTACCACCCTAGGACTACCTCAGTTTCCTTCAAGGGTCTCTATCCTAACAGGATAGTTTTGGATTCCGCATTCCTCCCACCCAGGCCTCCTGATTGCACTGCTCAGTTGACGTTCATCCTGAAGACGACACCGTCTTGACCCTTCAGCAGCTCTCTGCTCCCTCCATTTCCCTCACACCTTGGATATTTCCCTTAATTTCTCATGAGCCCAGCAACGCGTTAATAATTACATGTAAGTTAGTGAGTATCTAGTTGGATTTTATGTAGCCTGCCATTCTTGAAATACTCCTTTTCAAAAAACATTTCTTAACTCTGAAAGTAAACACCTGTACCTGATTCTCAGGACTTGAAAAAGTCAAGCTTAAGCTAAAAGCTAAAAGCAAGCTGTGTCTCTTAAGGTGAACCAGGGGGCTGCTCTCCTTCTTTTCTAAGAATTTCATCTGTTACGGGAGCATTAGTTTGAATTCTTAAATATAATAATTTTAAAATTAAGGGAAAAACAGAGTACAGTTAGGAGAGAGACAACATTGTTAAACTGATTTTTTGGTGACCCAGTAGAACTTCAAGAGTTATTCACAGTGCATATGTGTCTGTGTTTTAAGACTGGAGTTCACGCGGAAGCACCACTTTTTCTGTGGAGGTTTATGGGGTTTTTTCCTTTGCTTTTTAGCAAAAGAGCAGTGGCTCAGGCAGCAGTGTAGCTGACGAGAGAGTGGACTATGTCGTGGTTGACCAACAGAAGACCCTGGCTCTGAAGAGCACCCGTGAAGCCTGGACCGATGGGAGACAGTCCACAGAGTCTGAAACACCAGCCAAGAATGTGAAGTGAAAATGCCGCTTTAATGTCTCTGAACAAAAGAGGACTGAGCTGTAAGGAGAAATCCTGTTTGACTGAAGATAACTTGACCCTTGTACTCTAGGTAGATCCTCAACTGAACAGAGTCGAAGTCAGAGGACCTTTCAGACTTAATCAAGCCATTGAGCGTGTAAATGGTGCTTTGTGGTATCTGAACAATTCATCACATGTAAATAATGTGGGAAAATACTGTTGTTTGGTTCCCAGAGAAACATTTGTTTCGTAGTTAACACACTTGTAGTATTACTGTATTTATGCACTTTTTCATTTAAAACAGTGGTTTGGGTATTCCCGAATGGACCTTAACATGATTCTGTTGGGAGTTCTTGTTTTCCTCACACTACTCTTAAGAACAATGCTACGTGAACTAAGCTACTTTCCACTGGGAAATTGCTCTTTCAGCTGCAGGGTAACAACATGACGTGAGAAGTAGATTCACAATATACCTTTCTACCTGAAACTTCACGGGGTAACCGTTAGCTTAAACTACAAAGTAGAGTTGGACTCGTCATTCATTGCCTTCCAAAGTGCTAAGCATCATGTACCTACTGGTGTCAGGACTTTGTTCTCTGGTTCATGGACATTTGGTTTTCAGTGGTGGGACTTTCTTATATTTTGTTAATTACAGTGTTTTGGGCTCATTAAGTGAAGATTCTGCCAGATGGGATCTTACACCTTGGAAAGAGTGAATAATCACACTATCAAGTAAGCGTACAACTCACTGATGGCATGTGGTGACGATGTGCTCTCACATTTTCAACATGTATTAAACTTTACGTTATTTGCAAAGTGTAGATTATATAACTAATCAGGTACGTACCAGGCACTGATGTGCTAATACAATGATCAGGTTTAGACAGTGAGCTTTAGTTGTATTCGTGTTAGTCCTCTAATGCTGGTTTCCAGTTTGGAATTAATGGCACAATTGACATTCACTGTTAGTTATAGCAACATACTGTGATTTTTAATTAGACAGTCATTCAGATTTATTACTCTAAGAATGAAATTCTGTCTTTTGACACCATAGTGCCCTTTCTATGATTTTTTTTTAAACTTTACTTAATATTCTTCTTGGCCTTATCCTATTTAAATCCCTATGCAATTAATATTTTATATCTGCATTTTTTAAAAAAAACAGATGTTATATAAGTGATTCTCATATGTAGCACCTATTGCTTTTCCAGTAAAGGAATTAAGGCTTGTGTACTGTGATTTATATTCACTGCCCCAATTCAAGAAATATTGGAGCCTTGCTATAATGTGAAATCTTAAAGTCATGGACCTCTTCCAACCAGATTTCTGAAACCACCAGAGGTGTCGTATAATTCTTTCTCACCTATAACATGGTCCTATAGCAAGACCACACATTATCTATAGTAAGGCTACAATTTATCTGTCTTGGCTTTGCAATGTAATTTAGAAAGCAGGTATAGTTATTGGTTTGATTGGTTTTTAACTAAGTTACATACAATCTCTTATGTACTGATTTGAGACTTACTAACAGTGTTTGGAGGGGGCATAGAGATTGAAGAGCCCACAGCTGAGGCATGTTTCCCTCCATGCAGACCTTTAATGTTACCTGAGTACACAGATGTGCCCTGATTTCTGGCCCCTTGGTCACCGTACTGTGCCTAATCAATGTAATGGGTTTATGTCCCCTCCATGAGCTAAAAACGTTCATAACAAGATGAATTGTAGACAAGTAACATTTGATGCTTTTAAATGTTTGCTTCTTTTTAAACAAAAACTAAAACCCAGAACTGAATTTTGAGGTGGATTTTTAAATAAAAAAACATTGTTTGAGTTTGCTGTGAGTAAGCTGTTTTATAATGAAACCACAAAATAGAGTCGAAAATCATTGAAATGTGCCTCAACTGTCAAAACACATAACGCAGTTGATGTGTGAAGATACCAAATTGTGTTGCATGGAGGATAAACATACTCTGAGATTTAGAACACAACAATAAATATATTGTTAATTCAAAAATAGAAATCTTGGGGGCTTCCCTGGTGGCGCAGTGGTTGAGCGTATGCAGGGGACATGGGTTCGTGCCCTGGTCCGGGAAGATCCCACATGCCGCGGAGCGGCTGGGCCCGTGAGCCATGGCCGCTGAGCCTGCGCGTCCGGAGCCTGTGATCTGCAACGGGAGAGGCCACAACAGTGAGAGGCCCGCGAACCGCAAAAAAAAAAAGAAATCTCGTTTTAAAAGCTACCTATCAGAAGAGTCTAAGGCAATAATGAACTTTTTAGTGTAATTTCTCAATTTTTTGCAAGTTACCATTTTGAAGACCCGCAGCACTCAAATCTGTAGAAATTTTCCCATTACGCAGAGTAATTTAAGAATTGAAAATCAGGCAGTTTGTTAAACTAAATCACATTAAACATTGCATTAACAAATTAAATGAAAAGACAGTCTCTTATAGAGCGGTATTTCCCAAAGATTTTTTAGCACTAGAATCTCTTTTAAGTAAACTCTTGTGTAAGCCCAATATGTAAAGCCTGGAAAGTCCATTTGATCTGTGTCACTGTATTTTGAGTCCACATTTATGTTTACTTGTCTTAGAACATTACTAAGAATAACATTTCTAAGTAACACAAATGTGAAATTGGGGTTATAGATAGTTGGTGAAACCTTAGCCGCCAGTCTGTTTCTATGCCTTGTTTTATTCACATGCTATCAAGAGAATTTTGCTTCATGCAAATGTAAGTAAGTACAAATAATAATAGGGTTTAAACACACATTTCAGGAGATTCTTTAACTAGAAATAGATAAAGTTGTATTCCCAGGTTTATATAAACGTAAATTATCCTGGTAGTGGAAGTTTATACATAAGCAGACTCCAGTGTGGTAAAATAGTGTATGTAACACATTAGAATGTGCATTTTTACTAAGTTTTTAAACTACACACTTTTATAAAAACAAAATTTGAATCAAACTCTTTAATACCCCTAATCGCCCACAAGAAGCTGAGTTTTGGCCAGGCATGGGTTGAACACCACTGGTTAACTGTGTAACAGTTGTGTTATAAATCAGAAGTTTTTTTCTCCCACGTTTGATGCTCTCTACCTTTTATTCCTTCTTTTGAAAAACTGTACAATTTTATGAAAGTTTGAATACCAGTGCGCAGCTCTGCTTTCAGAACTCAAAATTCAGACTTGAATAATGTAAGCTATTTAACCCACAGGATGCATCACCTTAGAAAGCTATAAAAGTGGTTTTTATCTACACTCTATACGTTTTCATCTTTATTTTTATCAATACCATATAAGCTACTGTGAGCGTTTTAGAGAATTCCATAAAGGTACTATGAGTGTGTGTGTGTATATATAGCATTGTATTTAATCATAGACTAAGTTTAATTTGATATAGAAATACTGCCATACTTGTACATTAATGTCACAAGTCATAATTCCCTCTGGACTCTTTATATTTAATTCATTGGAGGTCGTAATCTTCATAGTCATAAATGCATTCAAACTGGAAATTGAACACCAGTGTTTGTTTTTCTTTTCCTTTTAGTGGGAAGTTGTCTGCTTTCCCCCTTTAGCAAAAACAGTATTTTTTATATTTTGTTAAACTGTTGACTATTTTATGCCTGTACACTATACCATAGGCATAATTCTTAGATATTCCCAAACACTCTTAGTGCCTCCTTATTTGGCGCATTGAAAGTATTGGTGTTAGTATTTCGAATGAATTATCCTTTAAAAATATACTAGCCTTAAACATTTTAGAAACAACAAGGGGGACGGAATCTTTTTATTCCTATCTTTGGGTCATGTGGTAGGTCTTATCCTCCATTGTTAGATAAGCAGTCAGGTCTGTAACAGGATTGACATAACATGACCAAACCAAGTGGATACAGAGAGAGAGAGGGGCATATCCCAGGATAACAGTTATTGTCAATAACATCAGCTATATGTAAATCTGTATGTAATTTAAAATACCAACAACTATGAGGTGAAAAAGCCATGGTGCCAATGAATGTTGTAGACATCATGGACTTGTTCTGATGAAAAATCACTTGTCGGGTTGTTGAGATGATTGGTTTTAATCTGACTAAATATGTTTATATATCACTGCAGCTTGAAATAATTTAGTTCATCCTCCATAGACTTATCTTTCTTTAGGATCAGTATAATGCATATTGTGAGTTTCAACAGACTGTTTCGTCAAGGGATTAACGTAGCTTCTGGCTTCCTTTACTAAAAAGATATGGCTTTGTGTGAGTTCTTGTAACCTAAATCAATTGTTGATAATCATTCCAAATTTCCACAGCAAAATCTTATGTATAAACTTATTTCTCCCCTCTTGCACATCTTCTTTTGTAAAGATCCTATTGTAGATATTTTCTGCTACCAAATAAAACTTTTCAAACAATTTGGTTTCAAGACCTTAAGTAGTCAATTTGGATACTGAAACTGTGACCCAATAAGGACATAAAACTTCTATTTCCAACTCTTCCTTAGAGTCTTTATCTAAATCAAAAACCCAATTCTGCCATTAACTACACTTCGCAGTTCTACTTCTATAGGGTCACTCATTTTCTGCAGTAAAGATCCCACTAAATCATGCTAAATATAATAGTCATGCTCTAACCAAATAGAAAAAGCTCCTGAGACCCAGTTGGCCTACGCGTATGCGCGTTATTCCTTCATGTAGCCAATGCTACCAGCACTTTGTTGAGTAAAAGGCCAATAAGTAAGGGCCTGTGTGCAACCTTTACCATCAGGAAATACATTCCCAACATGACTTGGGAAATGATAGCTGGCTGGGCTTCTTCATTTCTAGGAAAGTTTTCAGACACCTCCAGTGCTTCATAAAACCCCAAGAATTACCATAAGTCGCAGCATTTTGCAGCTCTGACTCTGTCATTAGATCATACTTGGGAAATTGGGGAAGAAAATTAAGTTCCTAAAGTTTATTCCTATAATTCATTAGACAGGACTTTATTACTTTTAATCATGGTTATGTTGGTGATTCACTCGTAGCTCAACATGTCTCTGATTTTGTGTGTGGTGCCCAGAGCATTTGGAGGACTCAGTATGTGGTGGTACAGAAAAGAAAACATCACATCAATGTTTTAAAAGCCCACTTTCTCCAATATGGTATCATGATGGTTAATGTGTCAACTTGGCTAGGGTGTGGTGCCCCTGTGTTCGTTCAAACACTGGTGTAGACGTTGCTGTGAAGATACTGTGTAGATGTGATTAACATTCCAATCCGTTTAGGTAAAGCCCATCACCCTCCATAGTGTGGATGGGCCTCATCCAATCAGTTGAAGGCCTTCAAAGCAAAAACTGAAGTTTCCCATCGAAGAAGGAATTCTGCCCCAAGACCGTAACATAGAAATCCTGTGTGAATTTCCGGGCTGCCAACCTGCCCTACAGATTTCAAACGTGCCGTCCCTATTTCCATAGATAGATGCACAGCATACATGGATGGATGGATGGATGGATGGATGGACAGATTCTTTCTCTGGGTCTACTCCCTATTCATTGTGGGAGGAGACATACAAGGACATGAATACCAGGAAGTAAGGACCGCTGGCAGCATCTTAAGAGGCGAGCTATCACAGAGGCAGAGTTGAGTGTTAAGAGATGACACTAAAGATGGAGGGCCTTAAGGACCAAGGAACTCAAGTGTATTGAGAATTAAGAACTTTAAAATGTCAGAAGACAAAGCCTGGAAAGAGTAGGCCACAGGAAGTCGGGAGATAGTGCTGAACCTGGGTCTATGAGTTTAGCTCTGTGTCCTTATAAATTACAAAGCTATTCAACAGTTAATTGAGACACTGTGTTTTATAGTCACTCTTACTTAATCCTCGTAATACTGTGAAGTAGGTAATGTTATTCTCTCCAACCTTCAAGTTCCAACTTAAACAGTTCCACAAGGCTTTCCCTCAACTACCCCACCCAGAGGTGCTAGCTCCTTCCTCTGAAAGTCACAAAATTGGCGAGTCTCTTCTGTTTTTCACTTTGGGCTTTTGTGATGGTATATTAATTTGCTAGGGCTACAATCACAAAGCACCACAGACTGGGTGGCTTAAATAACAGATTTATGTTTTCACGGTTCTGGAGGCTAGAAGCTAGAGGTCAAGGTGTAGGCTGGTTTAATTTCTTCTGAAGCCTCTTTCCTCGGTTTGTAGATGGTCGCCTTCTCACTTTACCCTCACTTGGCCATTTCTCTGGACATGGGAATCCTGGTGGCACATTTTCTTCTTATAAGGACAGCAGCCATATTGAATGAGACCCTCACCTTTATGACCCATTTAACCTTAATTTGCTCTTTAAAGGCCCCATCTCCAAACACAGTCATATTCTGAGGTACGGGGGGTTGGGTCTTCAACATGAATTTTGGGTGGAACAATTCAGTCCATAATAGATGGCTGTGTTTAGCTCATCTACCTAACTATATGCACCTTAGAATAAAAACTGTCTTATCTGTCGTTACATCAGTCACAGCCCTGGCAGGAAAAGATGGCACATTCAAAGGAGTAATTGAAGAGAGTTGAATGAAGAAACTGTTGCAAATCTGTAGATTGGGTGAAGGGAACAAATAAGGGGTGGTTAAAAACCACTAGCAACAGTAAGAAGCCATCAGCACTTTTGGAACTAAGGAGGGAAATGGTGCTGTTACTGACACCCAGCAAGAGCTGTCCACCAGCAGACATTTCAGCCTTAGGTAAAAGGACGCAACCACTACCAATTGCAGACCAGCGGGGAGGGAGTCAGGTTACCTCTCCTATGACTTGCCATTGGCTAAAGACAACCAGCAGCCAGAAATAACCCAAGAGATGTA